GCTAACACGTTGATACCAGGTCTATTGTAGAATCACAAGATGAAGAAGAAAAGAGGGAAACGTGCAAAGGTGCACGCGGGGTCTGGGGTTTTGACCCAGAGCCTGTGCGCCGGCCTAGAGCCTATGCGCCGGCCCGGCAACGGGTCGGTCACATATCTGGCTACACGGCTGCACCCCATGCCAAGGCCTGTCCGCCAGTGCCGTAACATTACCCCCCCGGTACAAAAAGACTCGTCCCGAGTCGTGCGAAACCGTGAAGAAAGCTATCATATATATAAGGTGGGTCCCCATCCCATCCCGCTAACCAAAATCATGTAAAAAAGTCGCCGTTACCTTGGCTCGAACACGGTCGCTTTCCAGACAGAGGGGGGGTGTCCTCGGGTTTTTGATTGGTCAATTGGTTCTGGGCCCCCGAGCCTTTCCCAACTGCGCCAAACATCCACCGCGGCATGTTGAACAACTAATTTGCCAACATTGCTCAAATCACCACCCTCTGGCCTTCGTCCTTGTCCTTGAAAATTATTTCCTTGCGCCAATGTAACGCCTCGTCAGTCTTGCCCCTTTCCTCAGCGGGACATTATCATCATCGTGATCCGGATCAAACTCGTCCGCCTCAGCCGCTTGCAGCCATTGGTCCAGTCGCTTTGGCGGTCCTGGTTGTTCAGGATATTCATCATGAAAGGATTTGAGGTGGCGAGGTGAGTTTTTGAAGTTGCTCGCATCGTAGTATTTCGGGTCTGGATCGCATCCTTTCCAACTGGTGCGGTATTGCAACCTGCCCCGGTATATCCTGGATGCCAGTATACCGTCTACTTCCCACTCGATGTCGTCCCGGATGTACTCGCCCGCTGGTTCCTCCGCATATTGGCCGGGCAACGGGTTATCCGGATACTTCCTCAGACGGTCTGCGTGGAAAACGTCGGTCCCGCGCCATCCTTCGGGAACCTCAAGCCGGAAGGAGTACCCACATTTTTCCTTAATCTTGAACCACCGACTCGTAAGTGGGAAGTCAAGTTTGTAGCTGGGTCTGTCGGATAGTTCGCTTCGTTTGATAATGAAGACTTTATCCCCCACGTCGAAATCAGGCACCCGTCGATGCCGGTTTGCTTGCTCCATCATACGCTTTTGAGACGCCGTAATGAGCTCCCTTGCTTTAGCGACATACCCTTGTATCCTTCTCACCAACTCTTGGGCCTCCCCACGATTGAGCTTTTCGCGGGCCGACAATTGTGTTAAGTTCGTTCTCGCTTCCCAGTCCAGGGTGCCGGGCATCGGAAATCCCTGCAGGACCTCATGGGGTTGCATACCACCCAGGCTATCGTGTGGCATTCCCATCTGAACGGCGTCCATGGCTGGTATAGCTTCCGACCAATTGTCCTGGAAGTGGTTGACAAACGGGCGAAGTCTCTGGTCCAAGTACTCGTTCATAATCTCGGCTTGGCCAGCCGTTTGACTATGCCCTGAGGAAGCCAGCTTCCATTTGATATTGAGGATTTTCGCGAGTTCGTTTGTGAAATCAGCTACAAACTGTGGACCTCGGTCTGAGACTACCTCCCGTGGTAGACCGTAGACGCGGTATGGCCCTTCGTAGTACATCCTAGCCGCGTCGCGTGCCGTGGCGCTGGTGTGACAAGGGATGGTCCATGACGCTTTGCTCAATCGGTCCACCATTACCAAGGCATTATCGAAACCTTGGCGATCCTTTGGCATCGACTTGTAGTCCATTACCAGGCATCGCCATGACTGATCTGCTGGCGGCAAGGGGTGTAACTCGCCTGGGGTCTTGTCGCGTGGGACCTTTGAGGCGTGGCACATTATACAGTTGGCGACGTAGCGATCTACGTCCCCGGTCATGCCGGGCCACCAATATTGGGCAGAAACCAGGCGTCGGGTTTTATTGCGACCTGGGTGCGCGGTTGTGATCTTTGCGTGCAGTTCGTGGATCACTCGTGCTCTCAGGGTTCCTGGCGGTACTACGAATTTGCCGTGTCGTGTCAAAATCTTGTCGTGTGCGACGAGTTGGTACCCGCCCTCCCCCCGACGAGCCATGTCTCGATAGATCTCCAGCTCGACATTGGTTTTGTTTTCTAGGATGAGCCGGTCCAGCAGAATGTACCCTTCCAATTGCTCCTCCTTCGGGACGACGTTTGGGTCGACCTCCATAATCACGGTGTCAACAGCTATGATGGACGGGGACACCTCGATACCTGAGATGGTCGGGTTGTCGTCGGCATGTGTCATCGTCCCGTTCCCGAGGGTCTTAAAGATACGGATGGTCCGGTGGGCGTCCTGCTTCGCTTTCTGGGTTTTTAAGTCCTCCGATTTTCGAGATAGAGCGTCGGCAGCCCCATTATCTTTGCCCGGCCGATAGGAGATCACAAAGTGATACTGGGCGAGGAACTCGGCCCATCCTGCTTGGCGGAGGTTGAGCAATCGTTTCGTACTAAAGTATTTTAGAGCCTCGTGGTCCGTGATGACCAGGAAAGGCCTCTGGAGTCCGACGAGTTCCGACCTCCAGCATTGCAAGGCTCGAATGATTGCCATGAGTTCCTTGTCGTGGATGGAATAATTATGCTCGGCGCCGTGCATGGTTTCCGAGAAGAAAGCGACCGGCTTCCAGTCGTCATCAACCTCCTGGGAGAGAACACCGGCGACCACTCCATCAGAGGCGTCCGTCTCAACTCTCGTGGGGCGATCGTACTTGAAATGCGCTAGGATAGGCGCGCTCAACAACCTCGCCTTCAATTCCTCAAACGCTGCTTGACAGTCCTTATTCCAGCTATACTCCTCGCCTTTTTTCGTAAGCGCGATTAATGGCTTCGCGATTCGACTATAATCCTTCACGAACTTCCTATAGAAGTTACAGAACCCTAGGAAGGACTGCACTCCCCTGACGTTCGTAGGAACTTGCCAGTCCTTTACGACAGCGATTTTCTGTGGATCCACGGCGACTCCGTCTTTGCCGACAATAAAGCCGAGGAACTTGGTTTTCTCGACATGAAACTCGCATTTGTCCAGATCGGCCTGTAGACCGGCCGCCTCCAGGCGAACTAATACCTTTTTCACGTGTATTTTGTGCTCTTCCAGGCTGTTCGAAAAGATTAGGATGTCATCGATATAAGCACTGCAGAAATTATCGAGGTATCCCATGAGGGTATCGTTGATGTAACGCTGGAAAGTCGAAGGTCCATTGGTGAGGCCGAACGGCAACACCTTGTACTTATAAGCGCCATATCGAGTTCTAAAAGTCGTCAATTCCTCATCATCCGGGTACATCCTAATTCGATGAAATGCCTGGCGAATGTCGATCTTCGTGAAGATCTTTGCCTGACTAATGCGGGCGATTGTTTCTTCGATGAGGGGCAGGGGGTAACGATCCTTCCTGGTAACTGCGTTCAGTTTCCGATAATCCACGCAGAAACGAAGTCCTCCATTGGCTTTAGGCGCAAAGAGGATGGGTGCCGCCCATGGGGCTGAGCTGCTTTCGATAAAGCCTTTGGCGAGAGCCTCATTGATGTATTTCCTGCAGGCTTCCAACTCGTCGATTGTCATCTTATAGAGTGGACTATAGCCGAGCTCTTCTGGGCGTGCCCCATTCTCCAACTCAATTTTATGGTCACTTGGTCGATGCTCGGGTAGGGTGTCGGACTGTTTTTTGCTGAAGACATTGAGGTATTGATGGGCGTACTCGGGTACTTCTTTCCTTGCCCTCTCCCTCAGCTCTTCCTCGTCCTCTGCTAGCTGCTGATCTTTACGTCGTTGGTCGTCGATATACCGATCTAGTTCGTATAGACTAGTGACGCCCATATGTTCTTTCTCAGCAAATCGAAGGAATGCTTCGGCTCCCACAACGGCCAGATCGTCGTAGTGTCTATACCAGCCGATGCCGTCTCGTTTCAGCCTATATCTCCCTCGGGTGTCCTCTCCCTGATGGGGATCAGTTTTGCGTTCGCCTTCCAACATTGCCATGTATTCCCGGCGACTGGGCAACTTTTCGTCCTCCTCTGCTGGCGGAACCTTTTGGCCGTGGAGCGCTCGTTCCATTTTAACGAACTCCTCGGATTCTCCCTTGCCGGTTGAAGGAACTTCAGGTTCTTTGAATAAGTCGATTGGGCGTGTGGATGTGGAAGGAGCTTCCTCTTTGGGTGGGAGTACTGGGGTGGCTTCCAGTTCCTGAATGCGGCGCGTGATTTTTTCCAATATTTTTTCTGCCTTTTCGGCTATTTCCTCTTCCTCCTTGGTTTCGGGGAAAATTAGGTAACGATTAACAGCGTCTACCAGGACTCTGTGTCTCTGCATCCAGTGCTTCCCAAGGATAAGGTCGTGTCCTGAATCAATAACGATCATAACTTCGTCGGGGAGGATCCGATACTGGACCCCAAGGGTACCGCGCAGACATCGATCGATCGTTTCACTATGCTGGCCATTATACCCTCCGACGGCATGTGGCTTGAACCCTTGTAATTATTCTATGCCGATTTCGCTAATCAATCGATTGGCGAAATTCTCGCTTATAAAGATGTTTCCGTTCGCTCCCGAGTCAATAAGTGCATCACTGGTAGATAATGATTTGCCATTACTTGTTATAGTACAAGAGGTGAGCAATGCCTCTCCTCCCAAATAACTACTCAAGAAATCTCTTTCCACCTTTGTCACTCCTGTCGCGGACTTGGTTGGACAGTCGTGTATTAACTCAATCCCTGGAAGGGAGTCTACGATTCCCAGGGTAGTTAGTTTTTTGCCTCATCCGCTTCGGCCCTGCGAGCGAACTGCTCGACTAACTTATTAATGCGGTTCGAATTGTTACGCTTGTTAGGGCAATCCCGGAAACGATGACCAGTCTGCTTGCAGACGAAACACTTGTTTTCCTCCAGCAGCTTGCGCGCCTCCTCCTTCGACATGTTAGGGGGGCGTTGAGATCCCGAGCCCTTGGCTGCGGATGAAGACGAAGATGACGAACCCCTAGCCTTGCTAGAAGTATTCTTATTATCCTTGCCTTTATCTTTGTCCTTACCCTTGTTATCCTTGTGCTTGGACTTCCACAGGCGCTGACTGTTCTCCACACACTTCTTGGCCATACGCACAAAAGCCGTAAAGTCGACAGTATCCTCACCGTATCCGAAGAGGAGGGCGTTCTGGATGTCGGTCGGGAGCTTCCAGTTGAACTCCTGCTTCCAGGTTTCTGCTGGGCGGTTACACTCGCCGGCTAGTCGTACGAAGGCGTTCCTAAATTCTTGGAAGTCCTCGTTCATCTTTAAACTCAACTCATTGAACCTCGAGGATAGCCTTC